GCGCAAAGCGTTGGAACTCATCCCAAAGGCTTGCAACCTCGACATTGTCCTGCAAGAGGCGACAGATATCGGCAATCCGCGACTCCCCTTCTGCCAACATTGCACTTGCCCCGGCATCTGTAATCCTGGACCAGGAGCCAGAGTATCTGAACATCGTGCCACTGCCGCGGTAGGAAGGCAGCGGTTGCTCATTCAAGACTATGGGGGGTTCTGCGTGCCAGGAGGCAAGCAAAGCTCTTGCTGCAGCCATGAGATGAGCAGGCACTTGGCCCAGCATGGCCTGTAGAACTGGAACCTTGTCTATGCTGGTAAACTCCACTCGCAGGACATTGCGCCTCTCATGACCATGTGAGCCTTCCTCGACCATTCTCCTCGCAACCCACGTGTCTCGGACAAGGGTCTGGAGCTGGGTCCGTGTTTGCCTGCTGTTTTCTCCCTCCGGCGGACTCTGCTTGCCCTGCAAACGACGACGTTTTGCGGGCAACATGGCTCAGGCAAAATGCCCGGATTTACATGCACGGCACGTGCCAATTAGAGACAGGCAGTCACGCTTCTGTCAGATTCCCACGCAGTTACACAAACCATACGGCGCTCCCGTTTAGTTAGAGGGTTTGTGGGAAAGAGTCACCTGCACGGTACGTACCAGTTAGAAGCAGGAACTCACGCTTGTGTCAGATTCCCCTGCAGTTACGCAAACCATGTGGTGCTCATGAAAAGTGGTGAGCTCTTTGGTGAGAGGCACTGAAGCTCACTGTCCAAGCCTGCGAAACGCTGCGCAGGAACGTGACAGGACCCAATGTCTACCTTCTCTCATTGCAGAAACCATTACCGCAGGACCGCACAGGACAAGCCACGTACGAGAACTGCAAGATGACACGCGTGGTCCTGCAAAACCGTTGTGGGACAATAGAATTATTAGTCCAAAAAACGGATTTGCAGGACCACGAGTTTTCGAGGCCTGCTTTCCCGGAACGTTTCGCGGGGCCGCGTGCCCAGAGCAAGCTTCTAGTGGTCTCCAGGTCTTTGACCACGAGGTGGTAGGAGACGAAGGAACGTCCACAATGGGACTGGCTGCCCCGGAACTCCAAGGGAACATCCCTGGGCTGGGTTGTTCGTGGGGTGTGAGCAAAACGAGCACCAGGGATGCAGCATGAGCATGACAAAGGGGGGCGTTTGAGCAAAACGAGCACCAGGGATATGAGCATCACAAAGGGGGGGGGCGTCTGAGCAAAACGAACAACATGTATTTCATGTACCTGTTTCTGTACACGTCACGTGCAGAGACGCGCAAAGCACAAGCATTGCGGCGCCATTATGCAGTGGTTTTGCCTCAACCCAAGAACTTGGCCGAAGCATGCCCATGTTTGTCTCACATCCTTGAGCGGCACTTCGCACGCGTGACGAACATGGAGAAAGGAGAGATTGTGTGAGAGCGATAGAAAATGCGCCCTGTCCGAACTGCCAGCATGCGTCCCCCCCCGTAGCTATGCTTCTGCTCACCGTCTACACGTCCTTACCTTCAAAAACTTAGGCCCAAGTATGCACATGTTTGTCTCACATCCGTCAGCGGCACTTCACAAACATTGACAAACGAGAGCTTGTGTGAAAGAGAAAGGGAGAGCTAGACAGAATGCGCCCTCTCCGACGTGGCCAAAATGCCCTTACCGTCGCTATGCTTCTGCTCACCGTCTCCACGTCCTTACCTTCAAAAACTTAGGCGCATGCCCAAGCATGTCCATGTTTATCCCACATCCTTGAGCGGCACTTACGCGCGCGAGATTGTGTGAGAAAACGAGAGCGTGAGAGAGTGTGAAAGAAACTGTGCCCTGCTCTGTAGGACCAAAAAGCGAAAACACCCTCCAAAATATAATCAAAACCATACAAAAACAATCAAGTTTGACATGTCGGGCGTAGTGACTTTTGGGGTTTAGGATGGTTGCCCTGACCCCACAAAAGGAAAACACCTTCAAAATATAGGCAAAATCCATACAAAAACAAGCAGAGAGCAAAAAAACACCAAAATCAAGTTTGACATGTTGGGTGTAGTAACTGGTTTAGGATGGTTGCCCTGACCCCAAAAAGGAAAACACCTTTAAAAACATAGGCAAAACCATACAAAAACAAGCAGAGAGCAACAGAAACACCAAAATCAAGTTTGACATGTCGGGTGTAGTGACTTTTAAGGTTTAGGATGGTTGCCCTGACCCCACAAAAGGAAAACACCTTCAAAATATAGGCAAAACCCATACAAAAACAAGCAGATAGCAAAACAACACCAAAATCAAGTTTGACATGTTGGGTGTAGTAACTTTTTAAGGTTTAGGATGGTTGCCCTGACCCCAAAAAGGAAAACACCTTTAAAAACATAGGCAAAACCATACAAAAACAAGCAGAGAGCAACAGAAACACCAAAATCAAGTTTGACATGTCGGGTGTAGTGACTTTTAAGGTTTAGGATGGTTGCTCTGACCCCAAAAAAGGAAAACACCTTCAAAATATAGGCAAAACCCATACAAAAACAAGCAGAAAGCGAAAACAACACCAAAATCAAGTTTGACATGTCGTGAATAATCCTGTTGCTGACAGGATGGCCTCCAAATCGGAGCGAATAGAATCTTCAGCTGTATGTCCGAGGGTTGCCTCCCAGATGCCAAAATCGACGCATCAGCGTGATTCAGCGTGGCATACACATTTGACAAAGATTGCACAAGTACTGCAAAGGCCTACACGGGCAGGCATTCGAGCAGATCTGTTGTGAGGGAACGGACTGGGGCCGGGGCGTGTGCACATTTTTCGCAGAGGTCGAAGCCGCTGTTGCTGCATCGAAATGTGACGGTAAAGACCTTCAGCCAACTGGACTGGCAAGCGATGGGGGCAGATGGTACTCAATGGTAGCGATGTGTCACGAAGAAAGCGAAAACAACACCAAAATCAAGTTTGACATGTTGGGTGTAGAAACTTTTAAGGTTTAGGATGGTTGCCCTGACCCCAAAAAGGAAAACACCCTTAAAAACATAGGCAAAACCATACAAAAACAAGCAGAGAGCAACAGAAACACCAAAATCAAGTTTGACATGTCGGGTGTAGTGACTTTTAAGGTTTAGGATGGTTGCCCTGACCCCAAAAAAGGAAAACACCTTCAAAATATAGGCAAAACCCATACAAAAACAAGCAGAAAGCGAAAACAACACCAAAATCAAGTTTGACATGTCGTGAATAATCCTGTTGCTGACAGGATGGCCTCCAAATCGGAGCGAATAGAATCTTCAGCTGTATGTCCGAGGGTTGCCTCCCGGATGCCAAAATCGACGGGCAACATCAGCGTGATTCAGCGTGGCATACACATTTGACAAAGATTGCACAAGTACTGCAAAGGCCTACACGGGCAGGCATTCGAGCAGATCTGTTGTGAGGGAACGGACTGGGGCCGGGGCGTGTGCACATTTTTCGCAGAGGTCGAAGCCGCTGTTGCTGCATCGAAATGTGACGGTAAAGACCTTCAGCCAACTGGACTGGCAAGCGATGGGGGCAGATGGTACTCAATGGTAGCGATGTGTCACGATGATGCATCTAGAAACCAAATGTCATGGCAGAAGCCCGGACGGCTTGCGGGACTTGGCAAAGACTCTTCCCATTGCAACTGGCCTGCGAACATGATCTGCCAAGCGCATCTTTGAAAGTCGTGGCATGAGAACAGAAACAGCACCATGGTGTCCGCATCTCTCCAAGTGCGCGACCACTGCGGCATCCACCGGTGAAATCGCGACCGCCGCGCACCCAACCGCTGGAAGCTTCTTGGGCAGCTGTCGTGTGGTTTCGGATAAGAACAACAACGTGCACTGTAAGCAAGAGCCAAAGAGAAACAAGCAACCACATTCGATCAACATCTGGGCGATCAGCATGTTTGGTTGGCTGAGGTCAAGCCTTCAAGGTTCAAGGAGATCGTTACACATGGCACGTTCCGTGACCACATGCATAGGCGTGCTTGCATTCTGTAGAACGCACAACTTGACGCTGCTGGCCATCTGCCAACTGGCGATAGCTAACGCAGACACAGCAAAAACATATCTCAAGCAGGGTGGCTTGGACTTAGCTTCGCAAAACCGTTCACAGCTCAGGTCTCTTGACGCTCTTCACCAACAGCATTGTCGCGTGGACGTTGCGCTTCTTGACGTGGTCCGGCATCTGCGTTTTGCCGTCTGCGCAGTAGCCAGATCAGTGAGTCGTCGTCCAAATCGCCTGCTTTTCGCAGAAGGCGGCGGCGCTTTCTGACCTAAAGGAAAACTGCTTCGCACACTGTCACACTGCATCAGAGCAGGCTACGCAAAAAGAAGTGCTCTTCTTGAGGATAGCAGCTTCGTTCTTAAGGGCTTTGCTGGCGCGCTTCAGTTCGTCCTGGCAAAAAAGGCACGTGTATGGGCAGCGGCGTGCGCGCATAGGACAGAAAAGTCTCTTGGCACCTTCAGCTCTTGCCGCTGCCTTTTGAGATCTCGTACAACATCGCCAGCAGCAGCTTCGGCACTCATGGCTGCAGCAACTACCGTGGCGCATGCACACGTCTCTCTTTCCACCCACTTGAGGACACACGAAGCAAAGCACGCGTTCCCGCTCAGAAACATTGCACACGCTGGGCCCTGCTTCCAGCACCAAGAACGCATGGTCCTTTCCACCATGTTGCACCTTCCCCAAGCAGTATACAGGAGCGCCACGGGCGTTCTGTTGTATTTGGGGCCAGACATCCCTGAAGCCCAGAACGGGATAAGGCTCCTAGCCCAACAGATGTCGAAGCCAACAAAACAAGGGATGCATCTCCTAAGGCACATCGTAGCGCACCTGAAAGGGGTCCCGCACTATGGATTGAGCCTTTGGGGAGACGAAGTGTGGGGATGGCATCGTGGTTCAAGGCAGCCCGCGTGACATCCTGGAGTTGTTCACGGATGCCGATTGGAGCGGTGACAAGACTACACGACGGTCGGTGAGTGCATCGGTCCTGGCATGGAATGGGCATACTTGCCACAGCGAGCAGGACGCAGAAAAGCATTTCCCTGTCCAGCTGCGAAAGTGAATTCAGGGCTGCAGTATCCGGTCTTTGCGACATGGTTCATGTCAGCAATGCGATTGAGTTCGTTTTGGGCGCTGAAATTTGTCGAAACAGTTTCATCGATTCCACAAGCGCGAAGTCTCTGCTCACCCGCCAGGGGGTAGGACGCACAAGGCATCTTGATGGAAAACTTTTATGGGTTCAGGGTTTCACCAAGCAAGACTACTTGACTGTTTCGGGCATCAGCACCCATAGGAATGTCGCAGACATAGGTACCAAAGCACTGGCAAAAGAAAGGGTTCTGTGCTTGTTGTTTATGCTGGGAGTTGTGGATTGCAATGACAACTACAATCGTGTTGGGGCAGCCGAGTTTGCCGACATGGAGCAAAAGTTGGCCCTCAAGCAGCAAGTGCGACGCCTGGAAAGGCGTGTTTGCCTCCCACAGCAGCGTGACATCATGTATCAGGCCTTGAGGATTGCGGTTGTGCTCAGTGAGCTGAACCTCGCAAGCGCCTTGAGCCCTAACTTGAGCCCAATCAACTGTGTTCGCCCGAGCTGGAATGTCATCCCGGCTGTCGCAATCTTCTGCCTGGTTCTGTGCAGCATGTTGTTGCAAGGCTGTGAGGTGGATGCTATGCTGCAAGCGTACGCCGAGTTGTGGTTCTACGAGCTCGTCGAGCTGGTTGTGAACAACCCGGGTTTAGGCTAGCTGGCATGTTGATAGCTGTGGTTGTACCCTGGTTGGTTGTCTTAGTGCAGTGTTGATGGCGCAGTGCCGCGTGGCCAGCCCATGGCACTTTGTCTGGACAGTCCGAAGCTCAGGTCGCCGATGAGCAGCAACAAGACCAGCAGAGTGGACTTCACGGGTGTGAGATCGCGGATGAGTCTGATGCTCATGCTTGTGATGAAGCCGAAGAAAAGGAATCTGCCAGCTGCAATGCCGATGCCACCGCAACCGGGACAGGTCCTTCGTCCAGCAGTAGCAGCAGTGGGGTAAATCAGCTTGTAGTCGAGCTTGAAGCCAATGTGTACTGCTCAGCAAGACGTGGGAAGTCCTATCATGCAAAGCGTGGTTGCCCAGGTCTCAATCCAGCTGGTGAGATCATCCGCTTGAGGCTTCAAGAGGCGTTATCCCGAGGCTATGTGCCATGCAAACACTGCTATGAGCGGCCTAAGAGCAAGACATCTTGAGAAGAAGTCGTCATGTAAATTTGCATGACGATTTTGCATACATGACAACACGTCTGAAAGCCTTCTTGAAATGCTCTTGATGCGACGCATTGGACGTCTGTGCATAGCTACTTGTACATAGCTTGTGGCAGTCATGTGCTCAGCAATTTCAGCAATTTGCTGACAATCTCCAAAGACATACCCGACACGAATTCCTTAGTCGTGGAGCGGCTTTGACTCCGATCACCAGATGGATTCGAAATGATCTTTCCGATGGTAACTAGGCCATCGCAATCTTTGTGATGCAGCTCAGTGCTGCATGTGGCATCAAGTGAGATCTTTCTTCACAAATGTGAACTTCAAAATCTTGCGACCTGCGCTTGGGTCTTTCAAGCAGCATACGCAGCTTGTGTACAGCAGTGCCACTTTGTAGTGTAGCGAGAGTTCTCTCGGCGCCAGCAGTGCGTTGAGTTTGAGCTTGGACTGCTTCTAGCAGCATCGCTCGACGTGTGAACTGAAGACCGAGATTGCCTGATGTGACGTGCTGTGGTCGTGTTAGGTGCATTTTTGATGGCCAGGGGTGAGGCAGTAGAAACTTTTGGCATGTGTGTGAAGCTTTCAATGGGAAAACCTGCTCATCTCTGTCTGAGCAGCTTTTGGCGGGGTGATTGAAATTTCATTCCTTTTATGGCCCAATTTGGGAGCCTGAAACTGGTTTGTAGTTTCGTAGTTTTCGCATGCCCGTTTTGCCTCACGGTCGTCATGTGCACTCACGATCATGCTGTCATATCCGAAGGCGTTTGAAATTGAGGAAAACTTTCACGAACAGTGCAACGCACCGCCTCGAACACCGGAACATCCGTCGGTGCGAGATCCAGCAGAGAATCATGTTGTGTTCGTGACTGCGAGTCGTGGATATGCATTCCACCGGACACGTGAATGCCCAAAGCTCAGATGTGCAAAGCGAATTCTGAGGTACAGCAAGCGTGAAGCCATCAGGCGAGGTTTCAAGCCCTGCAAGGAGTGTGGAGCATGATACAGTGCAACTTCTTTCCACTTGGAAATGTTCATGATGCTGCGCAGTGGTCGCATGTATATAGCTTTATGTACATAGCTTGTGATGCTCATGAAACTTCACTTGCTAATCCTCGTGGAACCTGGGGTTCAGCAATGCACACACATTCTTGCCCAATCCTGTTCATTTCCGATTCTGAATGAGATAATCCGAATGCCTTGATGTTTGGGAGTTGGTCACCCAAAATCTCGTGCGATGGCAGATAGGCCATCACAATCTCCACAGTGCAATGCCACGTGTGTCCACCTTGCTTGCCATTCCGACAGTGTGCAGCATGGTGAAGGTCTCCGCTTGGGCCAGTCAAGCATGCAGCACATTAGGTGCTAGGTACAACGTAGTTGTCGCCTAAACCGAGCCAACGACCCATGGGCAGAGCTCGAAGATGCAAAGACATTCTGCAGTTGTTTCACGGGAGCATTTGAAACTAAGTGTCTTGTTGTTTCTCATACCTGGGCATCGGGAATCCTTTGAACCAAAACTCTTCGCCTAGCTTCACACTTTTGGAGGCGGGGTGTTTAGGATTTTCCCGATTGACAGCATGCCCAGATATTGTGTTTTGCAGTTGTTTTACCTGTTGCTCCCATGTAGCATGTGACTTGAGTGATTCGAATCTGCAGGCGTCTTTACGGATTCAAAAGTTTTTCAATGTGACCAATTCAATTCTGCTCAACAAGAATAGTGCCTTCCAGAACCACAGTTGCCAGCTTTAGGTTCCGCCTTGGCTGCAACCCTCAAACCATTCATGGCTTGATCCAGGATCATGTACGCCGGAATGTGCAGGCAGACACATCCTTTGGCAATTGAATAATTGCCTTTGATCCTTTCGAAAGAGGTGAATGCAAAAAGGCAGTGGATGCATCCAAAGTTGCAATATCCATGCATCCACAGCGGCAATGGCAACAGGCAACAGCGTCCTCAATGCTTCAAGAGAGAGAGTTGTAGCAATCAGTCTTAATAACGATGCAATGCTTCCCTTTGCAACATTCTGCAACAAACACCGTGCTTGCACAGCTTCCTTTTCATTCGGACCGATAACCCATCAAGTTGGAATGATCTTGATTCCGTGCTGACGGGCAAACTTATAAGTCTCATCTGCTCCAACCATCTTCTCCGATTTGTAAGCTCATGCTCTGCAGCTTAAAGAAAGTTGGGTTAAGGCAATGTCCAACAGAGCCTTCCGTCTTCGAAGGTACAGTAAGAGAAAAGAGATTCCTTATATTATGCTATGTGGACGATGTGATGCCACTTGGAGAAAGCAATCACTTTTTGCGGCAAGAGAAAGAGACAAGGAAGTCATCTTAGGATGAGAGTGCCCCCGGCGTGCGTGGATGCGTTGTTTGAAACCGGGTTCTGCAAGAACTTGAAGTGGTTACTGCCCCTCTGGAGTCAGTTAAGGCCTGACCTGAGTCGCTGGGTGTGGACTTTCCGAGCTTAGTGACATACTTCGAGACATCCAGATCTTCGATTGCCGTTCCACGACAACAGACCCACCATGCATTGTTGTAGTCGGCGGTTCCAGCGCAGCCAGGTCTGGAACCAGATCAACCATGCACTCCAAGGGGCTTGAGCATACTCTTTGGTTTCTTCTCTCTTTGTCGCCCTTTCGGAGGTAAATTGTCCAGCCAAGCTTGGACGCCGAGTCACTTTTGAAGAGCCATGTGCATGGCTTACACCAAAACAACGCTTCCATCTCTGCGCCTTTTACCGTTTTCTCGGCGCTTCCTTCAGTACTCATTCTTCGTTCTTACAGGCTGGGGCTAGCTTCTGTTGTCTTGACTGCTGAACCACAGCTTTCTTCGCCATCTCTCTTATCGCCTTTTCCTCCGTCTTAAAGTTGTCAATTCCTTCACACAGGATCTGCCACACCTGCTGCCACACATCGATGGCATTATCTGTGTAAAATTCACCTGTAGTGTTTGCCCAGTTGGTGCCATGTGGTGTTTAACCATTTTTCTGCTGCATGACTTGGCATGAGCATGTTTGGTTTGTCCCAAAGCCCTTAAGCATGTGTGGCATGTCTTGCTTGACTTTGGCATGTTCTTGTCTTGTTGGCATGGCCTAGGATAAGTTTTGAAGCACTTGGAACTGCTTGAGAGCAGTAGTGAAGAAGTGCGTGTCAGAACTCTGAGGTTCTGTCTTGTTGCAACTCACTCCGTGTCCCCGCCACTTCGTTCGTTGCCGTTGGACGTGTAGGATGGGAGTAGGAGTGCAGAGTGGACTCTGAAGCTTCGCTGTTTTGCTGTTCGGAAGTGACCTGAAGTTCCCGAGGTGTAGACCAAAGCAGTTGCATTGTTCTTTTGCTTTACCTCCTTTGCAGAACAAAGTTGAGATGGAATTCGTAGCTTTTTGGAGCCCTTAGCTCTTGGAGAGAGCCTGCTGCAAGAACTGAAGCTTGCTGAACACTTTGGTGTTTGGCTCAAGTGCAAAGTGAAAAAGAGACTGCTGCGCGAGCTCTGCTTTTCACATGGTAGCGGAGCACTGAGAGTGACTCCAGCGCCTGTGTTAAGTACCTCCACGCCATGGCGACTCCAGAGCAAGGCGGAAGTGTGCAGGGAAGCCCACAGGGTTCTCCAGTGCACGGGGCGTTGCCTCCTGAGCAAGTCCCTGTCCCTGACAACACTCCCGAGGAGGAAGCCTTGCTGTTTGGAACCGGTGAGAATCCGGTAGGACAGCAGCCGAACCCCTTTGCTGCCTTTGGAACTCAAGGAGTTCCGACTTCCATGCCAGCGACGAGTTCACAGCCTGCCACCGCTCCAGGTGGTGGTTCTGTTGGAGAAAGTTTGGTGGTGGAGATGCTGCGAGTAATGCAGCAACAGCAGAGACAGCAGGAAGCCATGATGGACCAGTACAGGAAGCAGTTGGAACAGAACCAACAGCTTGTGGCCACCATGCTTCGTCGCATGGACAGCGAAGAGAAGAGGAGGAACGATGCCGAACTTGCAGCTGCTGAGGCTAAAGCCAAGGCGGAAGCCGCAGCGGCATCTGCACCAAGTGACCCGTTCCTCGCTGCAACTTCGTCCACAGGAAGTTCACTTCCTTCTTCAAGGCCTAAAGAGACTGGAAGTTCATCTGGTGGATACGTTTCCAACCGTGCAGACAAGTACCTTCCACAGCTGCCTGTCATAGCCCACCAGGAGATGGGTAGAGACAGAATGCGAGAGATTGAGGCCTGGCACGGCTTCCTGGAGACGATGAGTTCATGGTTGGCTTTGCAAGACGAGGCCTATGTGAACGAGCTTCGCCTCTGCATCAGTGTCAAGGACGAGATCCGACAGGACCGTTTACCTCCTGACACTGCAGCTCGGTCAGCGAAGTTGTTTTACCTGCTTTCCCAGAGCTTGGCGAAGTGGGAGCGTGGTTTGGAGTTGCTTCGAAGATGTAGCAAAAGGCAGGGCATGTCTGCTACTGGCTACGAGGCAGTTCGCACACTGCACCTCAACTACTCCATTGTGTCTCGAATGGAA